CTGATACGGTGTCCGCTGATACGGTGTCCGCTGATAAGAGTCGCTGATAAGAGTCGCTGATAACAAGAGTTGCTGATACGAGTCGCTGATACGGAGGATGCTGATACGGAGGATGCTGGTGATGCGGAGGAGCCGCTAATACGAGCGCATGATACAGAGGATGCTGATACGGAGGAGCTGGTGATACGAAGGATGCTGATACAGAGGATGATACGAGTCACTGATACAAGCCGCTGATGCGAGTGGCTGATGCGAGTCGCTGATGCGAGGCTTGTTGATACGAGGCTTGCTGATACGGACGCTGAAACGTGTTGCTGATACGGAGGATGCTGATACAGATGCTGATACAAGCTGCTAATGTGGAGGCTTGCTGATACGGAGGATGCTGATACGAGGCTTGCNTGCTGATACGGAGGATGCTGATACAGATGCTGATACAAGCTGCTAATGTGGAGGCTTGCTGATACGGAGGATGCTGATACGAGGCTTGCTGATACGGACGCTGATACGTGTTGCTGATACGGATGCTGGTGATACGGAGGAGCCGCTAATACGAGTCGCTGATACGGAGGATGCTGATACGAGCCGCTGATACGGAGGATGCTGATACGGTGTCCGCTGATACGGAGATGCTGATACGGAGGATGCTGATATGAGTGGCTGATACGGAGGCTCACTGATACGGGGAAGCTGATACAGAGGATGCTGATACAGAGGATGCTCACTGATACGGAGGATGCTGATATGAGTGGCTGATACAGAGGATGCTGATACGGAGGCTCGTTGATACCATGTCTCCTGATACAAGTCCTATCAGCATCCTCCGTATCATCATCCTCCGTATCAGTGAGCATCCGTATCAGCAAGCGTTGTCCGTATCAGTGAGCGTCCGTATCAGCGGACGCTATCAGCGGAAGCCGCCGTATCAGCAGCTCTACTGTAACACACTAAAACAGTACTTCTACTGGGTCCTTTGCTACAGTTCAAGGCTTGTTCAATCGATAATCGAAGATATCTATCCATTGATACCAAGTACAGTGTATGAGATTGAGTGAAAGTGCTGCAAATAGAGCAGATTCCCATGGTCGGTTGCTATGAACCATGTTTTTGATTGAATGAAAACAACAGTTCTAGCGTGCTGGAGGGAAGTTATTAGGTACACGACAGTAGGCCTCAGTACAATTTGAACGCGCGATAAAAATCCAAGATGCTGAACAGCAGGTGCTGGCCTGCCGGCGTGCCACCACCGGGGCTAGTACAGATTCTACCCTTGGGTACGTCCCTAACGTACAGAATGTTAACTTAACATTCCGTACGTTAAATTAACGTTCCCAATGCCTTACTTAACGTAATTTCAATTGATGTTTTACGCGTAGTAATTTGAAAACATACATATCAGGACTGAATTCTACACAGGCTACTACTTTTCCTCAGTCATCATTTTGATCACAAGTACTAGAAGTAGTAGTCAATGAGTTTATTACAACAGCTATTGAAACACAGCTTCTGCCAATGGCGGTGACCCCTCAATTGATGGTCCACTTGGTCATTGTGTTAGGAAGAGTGCCCTGTGCCATTGTCATTGCCACTGGTACTACTAGTACTAGTTCTACTATTAGTACTAGCAGTACTATTTAAAGTAGTAGTACTGTAATACTAGCTACTAGCTTCTACTAGTACTACTAGTACCACCACTAGTACTACACCACCACCAACAGCAGCATCACCACCACTGGCAGTGCTGCTGCAACTACCAGTACCTACCATTGAAAGATTTTAAATCAAGAAGACTTCCATCCTATACATATAGTCAACAACAGTCTTCTAAAGTATGTCCACAATGAAGCCTGGTTCATAGAAAAATGTCAAGTGATAGTGATCAAGTTTCTGGTACTAATTTTACACAATCCTATAGAGTAATTATGTTAGAGACTTGCGGTCAGCAAGAAAGGTCACTAGGTACGTGACACCCATTATAGATCGGAGAAAGCATCCCGTTCTGAAAGTTTTAAAGGTCTCATTATACAAAAACTGTGGAAAAGTTATGCACACCATGTACGGTTCTAAGCAATAGACTTTGCTCTTTTTTCACACCGAAGATACAGTTTTGCCCACAACTGTATTTTAATTTCTGAATATTTTCACGATTGCTCCAACAAATTCATCAACTAGATTTTAAATTGAACATGTGCATCGCTATCTGTAATATTTTGACCGCCAGCATTGTTGTTCATGTTCATATGTTGCGCCATGCTCCACCGAGGTGCAACACGTGGCCCTCTAGCTCTTCCCATTGCACCAGCCGCCCCAGCTCCCATGTTGTTGTTTATGTGCTCGCTATGATCAACATTGACATCGAAATCCTCCATGTTCTCCCAATCAATTGAAATTGCCGAAAGACCAGACATCGCGCGGCCATACGATATCTCTGACATACGTCCCATTAAAGACATTCTATTATTCGGATTCTGTGACATACGTCCCATTAGGGACATGCGGTGATTCCCAAAGGACATCATTTGGTTATTGTTCATATTATTTCCCGAACCCATGTTCGATCCTCTAATGTCACCGCCACTATTGGGAGCATTCATGTTAGCAACCATGTTGTTCATTCCACTTGATCCTCCAAACATGTCCAATCCCATACCAGTTGTATCATTTAATKGTTGTATATCATCCATCATTCCCTGCTGTTGCCTTTGTTGCGGAAAGTGATTATTCATCATCATTCGCTGTGGGATGTGATTTTTCTGTATCGGTTGCGGCATATCACCTGAAAGAAAGCGACGGACACCTGCCGCTCTTGTTTCGAATGCATCAAGCAGAGAGTTGTTCATTTGCCCGTGTCTGATACAATCAAGGTAAAAGAATTTATCGACCAAATTTGAGAATTTTGTCGGTCGAACTAGCCAAAATGAAATGCTCAACGAACATGAAAGAGAAGTGATTCACCCCATTTTCTTACCTAAGGCAATCATCGCGAGCGACGCCATTGTCGGGACAGGAACAGGGAGCACTCCAATCAAATATATCCCTCGGATCGATTGCACCCATTCTTTCGAAAGCCATGTACATTTCATCCTGTGGCACTTTAGTTGAATTTCCATTCTTTTCCACGATCTTTCTCATGGTCTTGACTTGAACCTGGTATCCAACCATTGCAAGATTGCGAGTCGCTTCCAGAGAAATACGTCTTGCGTTCCTTACTCGGTCGATTCGAATCAAAATTGCATTCAGAGTTCTATCAGCAGCTGCGTCAATCAGTCCGTCTATAGGCGATTTGTTTCCATTGCATCCCCTCAGTACCGTCTCGACAATCTTCACACAATGAGCACATGTGATGCCTTCCACCGCCATAGCAATCATAATTTCTCTATTTTCTGTTACGAATATAATTGGAACGGTGTCCGAATGCTCCCCATTATCACCATTCATCCCACCCATAGATGCCACCGCAGATGGATTTGATAATAACCTTCCTCCACCAGAATGTGCTAGCTGCGTGGCTGCGCGACTGACCTTGTCAACAATGCCAGGCAAATCCACTACGCCAGGGACGCATTTATTCTTAACATTAATCATTTGTCCTGGTTCCGTAAGGCTGGATTTGATTCCACCTGCCCCATTTAATTGATTTTGCTGCGCCATATGAAGACGTTCAAGTGGAGATAGATTCGGGTTGTTCATTATTTCTGCGCTCAAGTCAACACCTCTCCTACCCATTGAATTCATACCCATAGCGTTCGCGTTGTCTCCCTTCTCAGTGTCTCGCGAACGCTTTTTCTTTTTCTTATCCCGAACCTTTTCAAGCTCTTTCATTTTTCCGTGAAGCGTCCTCGGTGGTTGTTCCTTGTCATTGATTACTAGACAATATGCCAGAGTAAAAAAATGACGGGTATATCCTTCCACTACCCCTTTCATTTTTTCTGTTCCCAAGGCCGCAATCGCCGATCCACTTTCTCCCTTGCGACGATGCTGCCACCAGGTCCGCAGGGTTGTCAATCCCAATTGAATGGCATCACTATCGGCATCGGAACCGAGCCAAGGGCTCAAAATTGCTTGAACATAGGGATGTGCTAGACCTGAGCGGGGAAGAGGCTCGTAAGGGAACTGCCTGCGTTTACTGCCGTTCGGATCCGCATTCGATCCCGCTTTGCCGTCTTTCTTGTTTTGCAAACGTACGTCATTTTCGATTGGATGCGAAAGAGGATCAAGATCAGTAGAGGCCTTGCTATCCAGCTCTTGTGGTTCCAGACCTCCCAAGTGAGACCAAGCACGAAAGGCTCCTTCAAAGATCGAGGTGCGATGCTCAAACTCTCCTCTGCGTCGAGACATCCTTGAACGTTCCTTCGCCTAACGGCTATCGTGTAGGCAATCGGAATTTATTCTACTATGAGTAAACGTTGATGTTGTGATTGCCGTTGCCGCTGGATGCAACGATGCTGATGATTTCAGATTGCAGCTTGAATCGTGGGGTTTAGTGCTTTCTTTAACTACTTCTTAGTTTTTCTCTTCTTTCGTAAGATCGAGGAATCAAGATAATTGTTTTACTCAGTTGAAGTTTTCGTCTTCGATACCACCAATGCTTTCAAATGACTTGCTGCTGTCCTCTTTGATTTAGTACGACTACTTGTACTTGTGGAACCGTTCTTGGGTTCAGTATTCAACAAACTGTGCAAGGTTCAGGTGGTAGGTTAAGGGGGGGAAAGGGGTTGATCATCTCCTCGTTTTGTTAAGAAATGCCGGTACCAGTACTTTTTTCTAACTGTTGTATGAGAACTAAATGTGCGAGTAGGTACGTACGGTACGAGTACGTACGATAGACCTTTCTATTGGTACAATACGATACCGTACCGGTTGGTACAGCGTAGAATGTATGCAGTATTTAATTTCTTTTTTCTTTCTACCGGTACAGGTTCGTTAAGTTCGTTCCGTCTACAGGTTCAACTCGTAGGTTTCATAGCAGAACAACATCACAGTATTATTTATGGATTCAATACAACTTCAGCCTACCAGATCATTCCTTTTTCGTTTTTAGAGTCGGCTTGGAGAGCGTACGCAATAGAGCTACTAAGTACGGGCCCCATAATGGCATATTATTGGCAATCCCCGTACAAATACTAATAGAAATTTTTAGCTCATTTTTACAGTTAAAACCAGTTAAAAAAGGCATCCAATGGACGAAAATAAAAATATTTCCATTGTTTAATTTCTCGCTAGTCCCAAAATATTTCTATTGGTGGTCCTTAATATTCGAGATAAGCACTGATTTGATATTCCCACTAGTAAGGACCAGGAATAGAAATATTTGCGGACTTCATAGTTTTTTGTGTGGATGGGGGGAGAGGGGAAATAGAGACGGGAAAATGAGAAAAAATTGACGTACGGAAATTGCCAATAACTTGCCGTTATGGGGCCCGTACTTAGTAGCTCTAGTACGCAATACTGTAGTGCGATAACGAAAATGTGCCTGCCATATGAATCATTTTTTTGGTGGAGACTACGAGTACGATACGCTACTGTATGCTCAGTTCGCATGCAACCCAATCTTTTGAATTTCTTCGAAAACGACTACTAAATAGATTGCAGGGCGGTTTCCACCGACAATAATTCGATTTTTTTCATTCTCTCCAATTTCCCCTCTCCCCCCCCCCTCCACACAAAGAACTGGAGAGTCCTTAGATATTTCTATCAGTGGTCCTCACTACTGGAGAGGTAAATTCATTCCTTTCTACAGAATTTTCTTTGCTTACTACTGGACCTCTATTCGTGCTTACTACTGGGGACATCAATGAACTGCTGGGTAATACAGAACGCCCTTACCCAGCAGTTCAAATCACCCAACTTGTGATGTACTAGTACGAACCGTACTTTACTTGGGGTACAAGTACTAATCCATAAACCATAGCTCTGACGGCAACTTGCGAAGGTCTGTGCTACGTACGAAATTATTTTGTATCTGTGTCTTCCCCCAACTTCGATGGTTCTGAGCAATTTGGAAAAACACACCTTCCCGAAGATACGGCAAAAAGCTTAAACAATTGGTTTGGATCGGAAGCACTTTAACCCTATTTACGTCCCCATCTCCACACGAGTCTGCTCGTACCATCTGTGAAATTTGGAAAGCGGCACAATTCTCCTCTCACACCTGAGATACTATTGTTCAGAAAATAATACGGAGGGATATTCTATTCGACACGAAACAAGACATGATGAAGAATTTTGGAAATAGCAGAGGATACTCGATATTGCTCGTTCTGTTCTCGTCACTCTTTGGCACTAATGCATTCCTTGCTTCCCCGACTATTACGCTAAATCAAAAGCTTTCGGTTTCTCCCCTTCAAATGTCGTCAACGGAAAGCGATGATGCTGGTATTCATGTAATGGTGAACGGTATGCCAGGTCCCATGGCAACAGCTGCTGCCGAAGCTTGTTTGCGCAAGGGGATGAAACTCACGCCAGTTGCCATGACTGGACCCGATATCGAACCGATGACCATTATGGTGTATGATCCCGTCTCGCAAAAGTCACAAGAGGTTCGCTTGATCCCTTCAACTCAAAAGGAAGAACTAAGTGCATCTATTGAGGGACTCAAATCTTCATATGGCGAGAAGAATGTCCTGGCAATCGATTACACTCATCCTCTTGCTGTCAACTCCAACGCTGACTTTTACGTGGATCAAAAGCTGCCGTTTGTTATGGGCACCACCGGTGGCGATCGAGAGAAATTGATGGACGGAGTTAATGGAGCAAAGCATTTTGCCGTTATTGCACCCAATATGGCCAAGCAAATTGTCGCTATGCAGGCCGCGCTTGAAGATCTTTCAAGAAAGTTTCCTGGATCATTTGCAAGTTACAAGATTGCTTGCAGGGAGTCTCACCAAAAGACAAAAGCCGATACTTCTGGTACTGCCAAGGCTGTCATCGATTCACTCACAGAATTGAGTGATGACGAGTTCACTTATGATGACATCGAGATGATTCGAGATGATCAGGGTGCCATTGACTTTGGAGTACCAGAAGAGGCCATGAATGGACACGCCTTCCATCGGTATACGCTAACAAGCGCGGATGGCACCACGCAATTCGCTCTAGAGCACAATGTTTCAGGAAGGACAATCTACGCCGAAGGTACCGCTGATGCCGTCAAGTTTCTTGCTGGTCGAGTCAAAGAAGAAAACGACGGGAAAGTATATTCCATGATTGACGTGCTAGAAGCAGGTGGATTAGAATAAAAAAGATATCACAGAATTGATTCGATTTATAATTTGGTTCAAAAGATAAATGCTATTTGAAATGGAATATTTTTTCCACTCGGTGCTGAATTTTACATCAAATCATTCTCCGTAATAAAACCCACGTGTACCTACGCGTAAGCGCAGCAAATTAATAAACAATATGGAACATTTGCTGCAATTAAATTTCAAAATTAGTCATACCCAGCAAGAAAACTGCACACCAACCTCGCAACGCATCATCAGAGAGTCGAGATACTTTGTAGTCGGATTTGAATACAAGAGAATCATCTTCCTCGTCAAAATTCTCTCCCAAACCACTCATGGGACTCAGCATTTCTTTCTTCTTAGCACTGTCAGATTCCGCAAACGACCATGCCTCCTCCGAGAGTCTAAGGCTCTCGATGAAGTTTGTCTTCTTGAGAAGTACCTGCTGTTTCAACAGAGTTGACCACATATCATCCCGTACGGATTCGGATACCAACCTGAAATTTCCCAATTCTAATTCGCCCTGGATTCCCTGCTCTGCACCCTCCTGTTTTGGCCAAATAGATACACCACTCACTACTATAAAATCTTCGGGTGGCGCGATTCCTTGACCGACAGCTTTCATGACATCTTCTGTTGTGCACTTCCAAATTCCGTTACTTTCCTCATTCCCTACTGGATGTCCAATACTGGCTTTTCGCAAAGCTTCGCTGCGATGTATCCAGAGGAGCGATTCCTCGCCCTGTATTGAATAAGGCCCACCAAATCTCATCGGAATAGTAACAACCTTCTTACCCCCTGTCTTCAGATCGTTTACTTGGATATCAATGCCCTTGGACGATACTCTATTTAATATGACACCAACTGTTGCTAGCTTATCTTCTTTCAGTATCAATACAATTGACTTGTGGTATTCTTGTTTTTGCAGTAGAAATGGTGACCTATCAACTCCTGACGCAGAGACGAGGGCACCCTCAATCGGCGGATCTGGACGTTTTTCAAGAAGACTTGTGAGTTGTTCGACAAGCTCGGGATTAGTATTGAATTCTTCTGGATCCCGTTGTTGCCTCCCTGCACCTCCACCTGCAGCTTCAGAGAGTAAATTACTGAAAGCCCATTCCTTGAGCATCAAGTCGTCGAATTGAACATAGTACTGTCTTGCTGTCTCACTCCTTCCAATCATATTCATGAGAAGCGTCCAAGTCGACAAACCTGCATCCCTAGGATCAGCACCTTCTGATTGCCTGGCTAGTTCTTTCAGAAGTGTTTGCGAGTCTGTTGCGGCCATATACCAACTATTTCTTTCGAGTTCACCTTTCAGTTGATTAGGCCCCCATCCAGCATATCCTACAAAAACCCAGAAGTCAGAAACATTAGCAATTCCAGCTTTGACAAGTTTCTAAAAAATTCAATGCATGTGTTAGATATCACGAGTGTCGGTGGCTGTTTTGTGAAGCTCCATTTTGCTCAAATTACGCACCTTCGCGTTATCAAATGTTGTCCATCGGATGTCTTTCATCACAGGGATGCTTGCCTTAGTGGCCCTTTCGTCCTTAAGAGAGTGTAGACAGATAATGTCAGGATGCCGTGCATGCAAGCCCTCCACATCGCCTCCGAACCAGACCCTCCATTTTAGACCAGGGTTGATATTATCTTCGAGCGTAAGATCTGTTGGTCTATTCAATATGATTCCTTTCGTAAAAGTAGGGGAATGATCTAGAACAAGAATTACTGTTTTGTGAAAATACTGCTGACGTAAACCAAATCCAAACTCTTGTTCAATGCCTCCAAGAATCACGGCACCTTGTTCAATTACATCCCCGGAGTCGTATGCCCATTGTGATGGATCCAGAGGTGTCAATTCTTCCATTTTTGTTTCGCCTTTTGAATCCGATTGAGAACCTTGTACAAACTCGTCCCGGAATATAGATCCAATTCCATCCAAGTCGCCGTCGTCTGAGATCGGTTCGTTGTTTTCCTGATCTGCGTATATATCATCACCTGAATCACTACTATTCTCGAAAGAAGAACTTTTTCCAAGTTTGGAAGATTTTCTGTCATCGTCAACGTCGCTTGGATTCTTTTCACCCATGACCAGCTTCGCTCGAAAAGCTCTCCAATCTTTATCATCCAAACTGATGTCGTCATCGTCGTCATAATCTTCATCTCGGGACTTTGCGTGCCGAGACAGTAATTGATCTGCGCAGTGTGGTTTGCAGACAATCTGAGACTTTCGTCTTGGCGATAGCAATGCACGAGTAGATCTTCTCCCTACATTTTCTCTAAAAGGAACAGATTCGGATGTCAACTTCCCGGCTCTTAGGTGAAGAGGCGAAAAAGATCTCGCTATTGCAAATAGCAATAGACAAAGAAATAGTCGCAGTTGGAAAATATCTGATAAGTTCATGGCTGTAAATTCGGACACCAGTTACGTTCTTCTACACTACTCTGGATGATCTTCAAATGACTAGACTTCCAATTCCATTCAATGCTGTACGGTATTGTTAGTTTTTGCGACGAGAATATTTTGAAAACTGACTGTGATTCGATTCGAATTGAACCAATTTTGATGTTGGTTCTATTTTTTGATTTGATATGGTTCGAGCGTCTGCGTCAATACTTGTACAAGTAGTTTGCTAGAATGAGCCAGACAACATCGTATGTCCATACGAAATGAACATACGGTACCTTACCACGTAGTCCGCGGTATGCTTCAAGTCTACCGGTACTTTACTGTATCATAGAAGGCTAAAAGCTACCGTAGTATGCTTGCTCGTACGTAATTACTAATTACGGGGAGGGGTTTTAAATTTAAAACCCCCAGCACGATTACGAGGAGGACATACATGCGATGTACGAGTAAAAACCCTGAATTCGCACTGAAAGTTCATACTGAAAGTACGGCACGGTACAAGTACGTACTTCGACTTGTACTATGGTAGTCAGGGTTGTACCGGTAGTATGTAGAGAATGAAGGGGTCTAAATTATGAATCCTGGAGACTACGCAGCGACGAAAATGCAAATTTGCATTTAAGTACAAATTTATTCCCTTACGTGTTAAATGCATGTAATAAACTGCACAATCTACAGTGCATGTACCAAAAAATAATACATTAGTACACTCAGCAGGAGAGGAACGGGACGAGTTGAATTACTGTACTGTACGCACGATAAGTAAAGTACCGTACGAGTACTTAGTAGAAGTAGTTACAGAAGTAGAGGACCAGAATATTCCACTGGTACGGTACGGTACGTACGTACGTACCGTATCTCCTGTACGCTCTTACACCTTCTTCGACACGAAACTAAACTTCAGTCGTACTCGTATGAAGTTCCACGTCGCGAAAAGAAGACGATCTCGAAAACATTGATCATCACCGTAGTTTTGAGAGTTCTGAAGGACGGATTGATTAGTACTACCCGTCTCGTTCCAGATCCCATGCCGGTACGTACGTGATACCGTAGTACGAGAAATGGTACGGTACTCGTAGTTCCTAACCGTAACAATCACCACTGTTTTTTCAATCTCAACAAGAATCCATTAGCATCGAACTATCGATACTTATCAATGAGATTATCACATTTGTTATCATCATTCTCTAGACCGTCGCAATCATTGCAATACCACTTGGCGAAGTATTTAACTTTCTTCTTAAAGTTGTCTAGTTTATTTTCACAGCTTCACAAAACAGATAATAATCTGTGATTCATCAAAGTTTTTTCTTTAAATCGGATTTTATTCAGCCTAATTGAAAAATGAAGTTATCCCTTGCTCTCAGTGGTTTGTTTGTTTGGAACTGCGTCGAGTCCGCTCGGCTTCCCTTCACAAATGTTCCAACGATGAATATCGGGTCGCTCGGAGGAAGATACTCAGTACTAGACATCCCCCGAGGTGGCATGCAACTTTTTGTGAAGACCTTGACGGGAAAAACAGTTGCGATCGAAGTCGAGGAAGGAGAATCCATCGAAGAAGTTAAGGCGAAAATTGCAGAGAAGGAGGGAATCCCACCCGAGCAGCAGAGATTGATCTTTGGAGGTCAGCAACTTCAGGATCAGAAGACTTTGGATGATTATGATGTTGGAGATGATGCCACCTTGCACCTTGTTCTTCGCTTGAGAGGAGGTATGCAACTTTTTGTGAAGACCTTGACGGGAAAAACAGTTGCGATCGAAGTCGAGGAAGGAGAATCCATCGAAGAAGTTAAGGCGAAAATTGCAGAGAAGGAGGGAATCCCACCCGAGCAGCAGAGATTGATCTTTGGAGGTCAGCAACTTCAGGATCAGAAGACTTTGGATGATTATGATGTTGGAGACGATGCCACCTTGCACCTTGTTCTTCGCTTGAGGGGAGGGTTACTTGGCAAGGGATCATTCAAGGTCGACGAAAATTTTGTCAAGGAAAACTTGGTTGGTCTGACAGCTGCTGATCGTGCCGTTATGGATGCCTTCACAGCGCAAAGCTTGGCAGAGGACTCGACCGAGGAAGAAAACGAAGACGAAGATATCCGTGTACGACGGGCATTGTTTCGCATAGGTGACATTAAGAGGAAGTTCTGTGACGATAGTCCAGTGGCGAATATGATCAATCCTGTCGCAACGAATGCGAATGAATTTGATTACACAGGAAAGCTCATCACGACAGATGGCAAGCGAAGTACGAAGTTGACAAAACTTTTCAAGAGAAGAGACAATGAAGGACAACTTCTGGATTATGTGAAAGAAATGAAACTCGATAAATGAAAAAGAGTCGAGGCAAATAAATTAGACTGCAACCTTAACTCAAAACGCTGGTTAACCATGATTGAACAATTGTATATTAATTACGTTGCGCTGCCTTGAATCACAAGGACAGCAACAGCTGAAATGCCAAGAATTCCGCTGATCCACATCTGGTCGTTACGGGCTTGGTCTCTTAGCAGTTTCTTGCGGATGGGGTTTTCGGATTCCTTGCCTGTCACTGGTTGATCTGCTGTGGATGTTTCACCCATGCACCAGCGATACAGTAGGTACGATGGAGGTTCGCGTGGCTCCGGAATGCATTCCTTTGTCCGTATCTCCTTTGCTGCATCGAGCACTTCTTGTAAATCTTGTTTTTGAAGCGAAGACTTTTGCATCAAGTCAACTGCATTCTTAAAGGCAGTATTTTGGGGCGGGTCCCGTTTGCTCAATGTCGGGATTTTCTGGAAAGCGTTCTCTAGATTTTGTGCATTGTTCCAATCTTTCCAAGAGCATACTTCGTCCACCTTGGCGTCACATTGGCCAAAGTAACGTCGGTAGAAATCCTCAAAATATTCGACCAAGCGGGGATACGAAGCCAACAGTACCACCAAATGTACGTCGCAGAGTGCTTCCGCTAAATGGGCCCATAGCAATACGTCGACAAGGGCTGGTTCATCGGTTCCAAGTAAATACTTTCTCTTAGAGTCTGTCTTATTTTGTTTCATGGCCGCTGAGAGAAGTTGACGATCAATGGCGAAATATGCCTCATTGGCTCGCTCAAGGAGTTGATCAATTGAGATGCTCTGTCCCCTACAACCGCATCCCGGTAGTCTCCTTCGTTCTGTGGCACGTTCCATTGAAGCTTGGAACCTTCCGTGGAGCTTTAAAAGCCAATTTCTTTTGCCCAAAGAACTCGGTCCACGCCCTTCGTTGCATTGGACAGTCGAGGCCCCGATGTATTGATCTCGATACACTTGCTCCCACGCATCTCCATCTTCAAACCTCGCATGCAACAATATTTTCGAAAGTTCCGACTGTATCATAAACTGGAACGACTTCGACAGTGCTTGTTCTTGGTCTGTGGCTAAACCAGCTTGCTTGTCCAGGTTCACATTTCGACAATCTTGCAAATATGCCAAAATTGAATTATTGCATATATTGCTACTTCTCTTTAGATTCGAAGGCTGATGACGCCCTACCAATACGGGGAGCTTGGATGGTGTGCAGTCCGTTAGATACGGCAGTTGTCCCGTGGCCTCGTTCGAAATGTGATTCGAGTTGCGAACGATGTGTGGAATATCAGCAACTCGGAGCAACATTTGTTCGAACCAAGCCGGCCGGTGTTGTGTCAACATGATTTCTAGCTGCGGGTAGGGGGTGGCTAGTTGGAGAGAAATAGATTGCTTGTCGATCTCGTTGGTTGTCTCTCCATCGGGTATTCCGTCTGCTTCGCTCCTCGATTCTTCGCTCGATTTTCCTTCGCCGTGATTTCCCCATGTCTCCGTCCATCCTTCGGTTCTCGTGTCAAGGCTCGCTTTCTGAAATCTTTGGGAGTCAAGGTTGTAAATACCTCTTGCTATCCAGGAGTAAACGAGAGTGGATGTCTCCATCCTTGCATGCACGTTGTGGTGAACGCAGATTTGCGCGAAGTGTCGAAGACAAGAAGTATCGTCTTGTACCCTACATTAGTATTCAAAAAGATGTTGCACCGTTTAACAAGTAGTACGGGTGGCACGGGTACGAGTAGTACTACCAGGGGACGACTGGTACTCTTACGAAATACTGAATCGAGTTGCTTCGCATCATTCGAGTTTTCTTTGCCATCCTGATGGCTACTACTACAGGGCCTGCAGGGCCCTCCGGAACCCACATCCGCGCATCCCTCCTTTGAAATCCAACAATCGGGGGCATGATTTTGTGGGTTATTTTTCCCATGAAGTAACCCACCTTTTGAAACGTGGGTTCCTGGGTTAACCCACAAATAACCCACAAAATAACTCACGGATAACACATGAGTTTCTGTGAGAACCCACAAATAACCCAGGAATCTGCTGGGCCTATTTTCAAACACCAAAAAACAGTGATTAGCTAATTAACTTTGATGACAAAAATACTTAACATGCTCTCTACTAACCTACTAGCAAAGAATGAGGACTGTTAATTTGTGGGTTATCCGTGCTGTGTTCCTTGGTTGTTTTGTTGGTTGTTACTAGTAGTTTTCAAATGAAATAACCCACACTTTAGAAATGTGGATTTTGATGTAATAAATTTTCAGTCTATCAAAAGTAGCAATTCTATAAGAGGAACAGGAATGGCCCAAAATGTCCTCAGAGGAACAGCTGAGCCCTCTGGTATCCATGCGCACGACATAGCCCTTTTCAAATTCCTCTGCTAGTGCTGAAAAATAACCCACAATTTAGAAACATGGGTTACCATTCCCATGAAATAACCCACCAATTCTAAAGTGTGGGTTATGTTTGTTGTTGTGTATTTGTAACAACCAGGGAAGGACAGTTGAATGGCATATGGTGACTCCTCCAGTGCAATTCAGCTTACCCTTGTAATTCTTCTTTGCCAAGAATGTCTGTGCATTGTGTCTGAAGGTGGCAATTGCTCCATGAATAGTGTTACTGCACAACAAGTTGCAAACCCAAGTAAACCTTCTTGAACTGCTGTCCCACAAAAATAACTTTGACCTCTTTTTTACCAATGTTTTCCACAATATCATTCAGAACTGGTGGGAACTTTGTTGTGCCCTTGAGGAAAAAGTTCTTTATGTAATTACTAGATAGCACAACTCCCTCCACTGCCAGTGATGGTGGGGGGTCAATTGTTTACATATTTGTAGTAGTTAGTCAAAAAGTGGTGCTTGTGCTATTCTACTACTAAGTACTAGTCAATACATAAATCTGCTTTACTCCACTCCTGAATAAAAATCTATGACCAAATCAGACCAGTTGTTCACAAATTTACTAGCCAATCATATTGCTTGATTCTTACCAAATATTAGTATTATCCCTAACTCTAGATTAACACTAAACTTGTCATAAAATGTCCAAGACAGGCCTTTTGAAGAGCAGCTGTGTACCTCTGGTACTGCATGATGGTCTTGTCCTCACTTGTACCCATACTCTTGTATTGTACCATATACCTGGCAAAGTAAATCAGTCATTCTTGTTAATAAAAATGCTATATTTGATAGACTGACAGACAGAAAACTTATTATGAATTGTTAGATATTCAGCATTTTTGAAATGGGCCAAAGACTCCCATTCAAAATATGCTACTTTTATGCCAGAACTCACAAATCAAAATAACTCATAAACTGAGTCCATAAGAGTGATACCAAAGAGTCAAGCGCCTCTTTTAGTCAAAACATTCTTTTTCCATTTAAGATTCTAAATTCCCAAAAAGCCTGGCATTGACCAAGCAGTCCCTGCTGCAGCCTGTCAAATGAAAAATTTTCTTCTTGTTATTTTGAGTACTACTAGTGTTGGGTGATGTAACCTTTTGCTAGACAGCAGTACACTCACAATACCAGTAGTACTACTAGTAGTAATTCTGCTCAAAAACTCACTTTGAGGCCCATGACTCTGTCAAGAGAGAGTACTTTGATGTGAGCAATCACAATTACATTTAGGCTTCCATGCTTTTGTTTCTTTTTGCCTGTTCTTTTTTCAACCTGTCCATTTCCTCCTGTTAAAAGCTTGTACTGGTGGCAAATATTTTTTTAAGTGCTATGTCATCCAACAGGATATTTAATAGATATCTCCATTTTTTCTTCATGGTCTTCAAGTGTCCTGGTGTGAGTTCCATATCCTAAAGCTGTGGTTTAAAAAAGCCAATTTAATTCTACATTTTCAATACTATATCTGTACATGTATTGATCAATATTGCCAGGAACCCCCAACTCCCCCATATGACTAGAATCCTCTCTTTATTAGGAAGTGTGTATTGCTGGGCTTATCTCTATTGAAGACCAGTTGGTGACCAAGACAGAGGTCAATTTGTCAGTTCAAGATTAAAACAGTAATGTATTTCTTAAATTATACTGTGGGTGGATTTTTGGCCATCATTTTGACCTGTAATGACTAGTTTGACTTAGTGCATTTTAGTCCCACAAAAGGCAATCAGCACCTCAAGAGACCAGCTTCTCACTAGAAAATTAGGCAATCAATCTTTCAGCTCAAAATTTGGCAAGGCACTCCCTTAATTCATTTGTTGTACTTTTGGTCAATCAAAAAGACCAGTGGTACTAGATACATTTCTCCTTGCTTTAACTTAATGCTTTGATCACATTTCCTTCTCTTTGAATTGATCAAGAACACTACATCCTGTGAGGGAGGCAAATCAAATCAACATCCAAGTCAGAAGCTAAAGGAGGAACCAAATCAACTGTATGAATAGGAACCAATGAGGCCCTTGAATCAACATAGTAGATCTATCCACAATTAAAGTCCTACTAATTATTTGTTTGACTGCTTCCATTGCTCCAATCAATGCAGCACCACTGACTGTGTTGAACTCAGTGCTAGTACTATTGGCAGTTGGGAAAGTGATTTCAATGAACTCACTATAGTTGTGTCAGTACTGCTTGGTGAAACAACAATATTGTTGTTGTCTCTACTACCATAACTAGCACTAACAGTGTCCTCCTCCTCATCCTCAACATCCAATAAGTATTTCATGCACTCAGAGTTATCTCTTAGCTCATCCTTGCTTGGAGGATTCTGGTAGCTGCAGTCTTAGCATTCTTATCATTTCTCACCTTGGAACAGTAATCACCTCTTCTAAGACCAAACCATTCATAGTTGTGACGTTGCAGTGACAGAACTTGCAATCCCTTGTCTTAGAGTTGCTGGTTAGTGTTACACAGAGGAGGGAATCCACACAGCTTGCACATGCTGTAAGTATTTGCACCACTCATGTAACAAATGTTTTTATTCCTTGACTTGGTAGGCCAAACTGCCTTCAGATGATTTGCCTACTCAGTCTGAGTGAAGCAAAACCTACCATTTTCCTTGTTCTCTGCAATGGTTTGTAAAAAGTTGCAATGTGATCCATCTTCCCATAGGTGTACAGATACAGCTCTCTATAATCATTTATTTTGATTCCCATCTGGGCCTCCTTTTGTCAGCTCCTTGCCCTCTTTCCTATTGATAAACGTATAGATAGGATGAGGATACCGAGTTAACAGATCCAAGATTACAATTGCCTATGCTTTGGAAGGAGCAGTGGACTCTCCTGTAAGCTTTGGTTCCTTTGTCAGGATCAGCCTCCACAGTCTTCACCAACATTACAGGCTAGATAAGTCTAGAGGGCTTCACTCTAACTCTTCCATTGGAATCTCTAGCAACATTATTTTTGCTAGGAACCTTGGCTGGCAATCCATTCTTAGCCACAGTTCCCATCATTTCTGATGCTTGCTCAGCCATCCAATCCAAGATAGAGTTTGAGAGGCATAAGTTATCAGCTGTGATATGGTGAGGAGGTGACTTCCAAATCTTCCCAGATCCTATTTTACCAAGAACAAAGTTCTGTGGTGCTCTTCAGCAGGGCCAGTACATGAATGCCTCTCATCTTCAATTTTCCATCCACGATATCTGTTCTTCCACCAAGCTCTAGACCTGATCCTATCACCAACAAAAGGCATAACAACTGGTTGTTCACCACAAGAAGTAATCATGTTCCCTTTGAGATAGTTCACAAGGGGGCCTCCAAACCTGTGGTAGTGCCAACTAGTCTCATCAATACAAAGGTCTAGCTAAAGCAGCCCTCTCAGTGAAAAGTTGATGTTATTGACAAAAGTCTCATTGATGAAGTCAAACTTTTAAGCAACTCTACCACCATTGGGGGATCCAGGGAATGACCCTTCCAAATTGATCTTGCAAAGACTCAAGTTCCTTTTAATCTCAAGCCTTTTGGTAAGAGTCATGGTGTTTGAAGAAATATCCTCATTAAATTAAAGATTCTTTGCATCCCGTCTGAATTTGATGTTTTGCTTACCTCCTGCCTCACCAGCTCCTCGTCATCAACTTTTTGTAATACTAACTATGCTTCCTCTCTGGTTCAACATGATACTGCTGAGCTTCCCTTGAAACATGGAGCAATTTGGAGCAGGGAGGCAACTGATAGAAAAAGAAAGCATCTCCATTTTTATCCTCTATTTCGTGAGGGTAGGCTATTTTGAAAATATGAAAACATTATTTTTCATAATTTTTTTTCTCTCTAATCAACCAATCAGATTGCTTGATTCCTACCGAATGTCAAATTATCCCTAACTCTAAATAAAAAACAAAGTCGTTATATTGACACTCCTGGTATCGTACGTACGATCACGTTTGAAATGTCATTGAGTGTCTTTCGAAACGATAGTTCAAGTAGACGTGCAAGTATGAAATCTTACTAGTACCGTCGTAACTATCAGCTTTCGTCGTTCGCCAAGGTTCTTCCTCCTAGGCTTAACAAACGAAGTATGTTCAAAATTTTGTTCCAGCGCGTTGGAATTCGTTCACCGATATGACGCCGACTTTGGAAAGTTGTAACGACTCATCCAAATACAAACAATCGTTACTGAATAAAATTATATTCAATTTTTTAGCGTGCCGGGACGTAGCAAGCATTTTTTTTAACGAAGAAACGACTATTTTGATGCCAGCCGGCTAGCTAACTGGTTCGTGTGTCGATTGTTTGAAAGGGAAAGCTGTTGCAGTAAGGCTCTCGAGCTTTTGCAGCAGTATGTTTGTCTGGAACAAGCTAGCGTACTACCGGTGAAGATTTGTATTAATAATAAGGTTACGATAACAGCAGCACTAAAGTGAATGAATTGACTTCGAGTAACGGCACCTCCATTACGAACAACAGTCCACCTTATCGATAGTTAAAGCCGAACTGATATCTTGTTGTCCATCCTTGGCGACGATGGCGAACATTGCACCTACATCAGCGGCGAATTATAGGAGCGTAACTCCGGCGATGAATAACGTACGGAGAGGCGTGGGCGCTTCCAGCGGCGGAACCCCCAACAGCATGAATCAAATGAGGTACACCGATTCTTTCAACCCCATCGACACTCCTCAGCAACAATCATTTAACCAGTCCCAATCAAACCATGGAAATTTAACTCCGTCTTCGACTGGACTCCTACGCCTCACTTTGCGAAAGCCCATGGGAATTGTCTTTGAACCCATGTACGACCCCAACACACCCTCCATTCAGCGAGGTGTCCGAATTTGCGATCTTCCTCGCACCGGTGCGGCAGCCCTCTCCCGGAAGCTCGAAGTTGGCGACGAATTGCTGTCGATTAACGACAAGACTATGTCTAGACTCACCTTTGATGAAATCATGGATTTTATCATCGAAGCAGACCCCGAAGAAGTCAACCTCTTGTTCCGCCGTCCCCGTAAAGAAACGTTGCATGCGAGGCAGGGCATCAATCTTAACAAAGCTAGCAACCCCAACGGGCCTGGCGTTAAATGGATTGACGACGAGGAACGAAACGTAAGTGGCGGCAAAGGAGCCAAGCCAGAAACATCTACCATGTCATCACGAAGTGGCGGAAGGAAGGACAGGAAATCGTCACGAAGGAGTGGCAATGGATCATCGAGTCGAAATCACGACGACGAGACTCTGCAATCTGAGGATAACGATTACAGCAGGTCTGGCACCGGTCGCAGCAGTCGAGGAAGAAAAGGACGAAGAAGGAAAGATCCATACGAATCAGAATCATTTCTTGACATTTTGATCGACACCATATGCGCGAATCCAGATAGTGTATGCAGAGATCGGAGAAGAGGTGACGACGATTATTACTCTGACGATGATGAAACGTTTGCGTCAAGAGATGACTCCACTTATGTGACGTACGAGTCAGAGGACCGAAGAGAACTCAAGAAAAAAATGAAGTCGAAGCAATCAAAAGGTAGCAAAAATCGAGACGATGATTCTTCGGAATACGGTGACGAAACCGAAGAAGACACCCTGGACGATAAGCGTGGCAGTGCGAACAGTTCAAGCAAAAGAGAGAAGGGCAGTGCCCGCTTGTCACCTCCATCTGAAGGACTGAAGTCACCGTCCGATATGATGAAGAAAAAAAAGAGCAGTGGGAAATACGAAGATGACGGAACGCTGGAAACTGTGGACTCGGTCGAGAGAAACAAGGCCATGGAAGCAGCTCTTGCGCCAGACCCGACACCTCCGCTAGGCCTTGCCCCTAATCCCGAGCCAGCTGCAGGACCCGTCCTTCCTTCGGATACTGATGATGATGGAAATCCAGCTCCGATCAAAACTGTAGAATACGACGACATGGACAACGGTGCCGACGTATCAGTCATGGAAAGTCTCGGAGGCCCGTCACTCCTCATCGAAAAGCAACGACAAGCCGCGGCTGTAGTTGCTACTAAGGTTGCTGTCCCACCTGTCCCTGCTGATATCATTGAAAATTTCGGCAAGGACTATCCTCTCGATTTCGGATTTTCGAGAGAGCAAACGATCCAAAATGACCCATTGCGTTTCTACACATTTGTTGTAAAGGGCCTTCTACAAGAGCACGAGCCAGAAAAGGTCAGGTTACTGGAGAAGCTGTTGGCGAAATACAGAGGTCGTGAAGACCATTTGGTCCAAAAACTTTCGGTGCGTTACAACAAAGAAGAGGAGGAGGAACAGGATCAGCACGAACATGGACTAGGCGCGGCAAGAAGTTTTGAAGACGCTGTCAACCAAGGAAAAGGAAGCGCGCACGCCAATGCAACTATTCAAACCGCTCGCGAACGATTGCAAAACGATGGATTCCAAACTGACCAATGGCCAGAAAAGGAAACCAAAGAACAAGACGATGAAGACGACAAGCAACCTGAGATGCAGTCTGAAAGTGGAACAGAGTTCTCGGGCGATTCAATTGACGGAACTTCTCCTGCAGTTATTGCTCAAGTATCTGAACTGTTAAATTACGTTTATGGCAAGACATCAGTTCCGGGTCAGATTGATCGTGTATCGACCATAATGAGAGCGTACGAAGGGCGAGAGGCCGTTCTTTTAGAGTTACTGGAAACAAAGGCATTGATCAAAGCCAACAGAGAGAAAGAAAATGCCGGCCAACTACCATCATTCCTGAGAAATTCTGCGAATGCCCAACGAAATGCTGGAAACGAAATGTCTGCAGCTGATGGTGATGTACCACCAGTAACACCGATGGCAACACAGGCCGCGATTAATGATGATATCTCGTCGATGAGCGGAGTTTCATCTCCTGCGGAAGGGCAGCAACACGCAGTCAACGCTGGAGTATTGAAGCAAATAAATGTGAGTTCGCGTTGATCCTCATTGTCTTCATTTTACATGTATGTTATTTTAAATTTTCGCTTAACACTTTTTGTTTTGCGTTCTGCTTTCGTATCACTTCCTTCCAGCAGGGCCACGATATTGCGCCGCACTCAGCTCCAGGCACTGATGGAAATGCAGGTCACGAAGTTGAATTCCCACGAGCTACATCTTCTCCTCAGAAATTAAAGGGTGCACGGGCACCAGTCCCTGAGAAGGGTGATGCGAAAAAGAAGAAGAAAGGAATCTTTGGAGGGCTTTTTGGAGGCAAAAAAGGAAAGAAATCAAAGGACGCTGACAAATCAGAAAGAACTGCATCAAGAACCAGAGGCCTACGGTCTCCTATGGGACGAAAACTGAAAAATCCCACCGAAACGTCAGCCTAATATCATCGAACTATTGAGTAATAATATAAATATACATTTTCATGTGTTATTTCCTTATGAATTTCTTCACAGTATGCGGATTTATAACCGTTTCTTTTGCAATAATATCAAGCAGTGAGCAGCTCACTAAGATCCATTTGATTGATTCATAGTTCACGGTGAGGGATTACGCCCATGGAATGGACTTCCGTGAACGGCTGAAAACACTAGTTTTTCCAGCTAGAGCAATGTGAATAATCCCAGCAGGAGAATGAACAGTCATGATTAGAAGAGAAAATCCCGTATACACAACTGCATGTAACAACACTAATCCTATCTCTATGGTTCTTCTTCACCAATCGTCTGATTCTCCTCCTCTTCACCAGCAGGAGAACAACAAGAAGAACAGCAACAAGCAACATAGAATGAAACTACCTTTATCACACAATTTATTTTTGAAGTCTACAGAAGAATAAATCATGCAAGTAGATTGCTTGTTCCGTTAAAAGAAGGATCCTCAAATGATAACAATAACAACAAGAACAGGAGTGGTTTGTGTAGGGTACGTAAGGTGCGCAAAGAACCTACGGACTTTACTACGGCATGGTACGATACGAGTTGCTTGCACTGACTACGAGTACCGCGCAAAAAAGTAATTCTAGCATTTTGATGACTGTACGTACGGTACCTGGTACCATACGATACGGTACCATAACACCAGTACTGTATTACCTTACCGGCCGGTACAGTATTTTCGTATTGTTTATTTTTCTCTCAGTCGTACAGATTGTCTGCCTCTCTCGAAGCGCTTTCTTTTCCCCTTCGAGTTGTTACAAATTGTGACAAACGCTAAAGGTCATACTTGTACTGTTTGAATTTGAAGTGTTTCGAAAAGCGGGACCTGGGATATTTGCGTCAGCTCAAGTTGGTCAGCACGAGCACATCAACGCCAACTTAGAACACCAGTCACAATGCCCAAAACCACGTCGAGCTGTGGGGTTCTTCTCTGGCTCACGCTTCTTGCCGGTTGTCTACCGACGACCGCATTGAGTGTTGATCAGTCAAAGTTCCGAACGTGCGAGCAGACGTCCTTTTGTCGTCGTCACCGCCACCAGCACTCCGCTAGCTTGTATCAATATCGCATTGATCCGGACTCCGTTCACTTCCATATTCCGAGCGAGAACAAACATGGATCCGATGGCCCAAAACATCAGTCAGAACGTGATGCCGATCAAACAATGGACAATGTTGAGAAACCTGATGTCGATACAGATACAGATAACGGTCTGTTGAAATCTTTAACGGAGCGCATATTTGGAAAATCACCTCATGAAGACGATGCTAATCAAAACAAAAAAGACCCCTACGTAAGAGGCCCCCCACCAACGTTGACAGGTACTATGGTCAACACTGCCACAGAGACTTCCTCGGGCAAGAAAGAATACCTGAATTTTTCTGTCCATTGCATTTCGGATGGAATGGTGCGAATGCGAATCACAGAAGTCTATCGAAACAGAAACGATGATGACCACGGGAAAACACCCCACGATAAGGCACGAACTACCTACGACGAATTGGTCTTGACCACTGAAAACATGGAGCCGGCGGAGCACGTAAATTGGGTACGGCCTGGCGAGGATTACTTGGTGGAGCTACTCGGTAGCCAGGACGAGGCAAACCGATACATGGGATTGCGATATGGAGACCACCCGACAACGAAAGAAAAAAGTGGCATGCTCTTTTTGATGCGGCTGGATTCATTCGCTACTTATCTATACCGCGAGTCTGATTTGCAACAAGGACCAGTCATTGCGATGGGTGACAAGCACATGACGCACTTTGAAATCCGTCGCAATAAGAATGTGGTCGATGGTCCCGATAATGGCAATCTCGACGATATGGTGGCAGAAGAAAGCAGTGGTGATGCTGAGCAACCGGAAAAAGAAATCGTTGGTTACTGGGAAGATGGATTGGCAATTTATGCCGACGGAACACGAGAAGAACGAAAAGAACAAAAAGAAGCAACAGATCATCGTCAACTAAGCGAGCTAGAACTAGATAAGGAAGGGATGTGGGAAGAGAATTTTGGACCTCATACCGATTCTAAGCCTCATGGACCTATGAGTGTCGGTTCCGACATTACTTTTCCGGGATCCAAGTTCTTGTACGGGCTTCCTGAACACGCCTCGTCTACCGCATTAAAGCAAACCACGGGAAATAAGGCTGAGTACAAAAATCCGTACCGTCTTTACAACCTCGATGTCTTCGAATACGACCTTGATGTTCCCATGTCTTTGTACGGTGCTGTTCCTCTTATCGTCAGTCAGAGTGCGAAAACAGGAACCTCTGGAGTCTTTTGGTTCAACCCGACTGAAACTTTTGTGGACATCAACGACGATGAAAGTGGTAGCAAAACTTCACACTGGATGAGTGAAAGCGGAATAATTGATGTATTTTTCATTCCTGGCCCGACTCCTAAAGATTTGTATCGACAGTATGCAAAATTGACTGGTTTTACACCCCTTCCGCCGATATTCGGTCTTGGATATCATCAATGTCGCTGGAATTACAAGGACGAACAAGACGTCTACCAAGTCCATGATAAATTTGAGGAACTTGACTACCCATACGATGTATTGTGGCTTGACATTGAACACACAGACGGCAAGAGATATTTTACGTGGGACAATCATCTATTTCCTCATCCGAAGCCGATGCAAGAAAAGCTATGGTCGCAAGGGCGCCGTATGGTATGTTTATTTCATGAAAATTCTTTGAGCTATGATCTGTTGTGCCTAACCTCACATGATTGCTTCTTCTTTTTGTCCACTGTTAATTCGTTCATAATAGGTAACAATTGTTGATCCTCACGTAAAACGTGATAATGGGTACTACATTCACAAGGAAGCAACATCGAAGGGGCTTTACATCAAGGATAAAGATGGAAAGAACGACTTCGACGGATGGTGCTGGCCCGGTTCATCATCGTATCTTGATTTTACCAACGAAAAGGCTCGATCTTGGTGGGCAGATCAATTTTCATATGATCGATATCACGGTTCGACACCCTCTCTTTACACCTGGAACGATATGAATGAGCCCAGCGTTTTCAACGGACCAGAAGGTAATTACCGAAGTTCTGCCCACATACACTTTTGTTTTTCTTGAATTGGCGCCGTTAGTTTTGTGTGATACCATACTGTCGTTCACATTTGTATTTTTCTATTTGTTGTCTCTGTTCAAAGTTACAATGCAAAAAGACCTCCTGAACTTGAACGGGGATGAACATAGAGAATGGCATAATATATACGGTATGCTCTTCCAGCGTTCAACTATGGAAGGCTTAATTCGTCGAAATAAGGAAGAGAACACTAGACCTTTCGTTCTCAGCAGATCGTTTTTTGCTGGCAGTCAAAAATATGGCTCTATTTGGACGGGCGACAACGCGGCACAATGGTCGCACTTAGAGATCGCAGCACCCATGCTCCTCAGTCTTAACGTGGCCGCGCTATCCTTCGTTGGAGCCGACGTCGGCGGTTTCTTTGGCAATACCGATGCTGAACTTATGACCCGTTGGATGCAGGCAGGAGCATACCAGCCATTCTTCAGAGGACACGCCCACCACGATGCAAAGCGTAGGGAGCCGTGGTTGTTTGGAGATGAGACTATGATGCGTTTGCGAAAGGCTGCAATGGCCCGATATGCATTGCTACCTTTTTGGTACACTTTGTTTCACGAGGCCAGCGTGACAGGAATGCCAGTGATGAGAACAATGTGGATGAACTATCCACACATTGAATCATTGTATGCAATCGACGATCAATATTTGATTGGTTCGGATCTTTTGGTGAAACCAGTAACTGCTCCTCATGTTACCGAGTCGATCATTAAATTTCCTGGAGATGATATTTGGTACGACGCAGAGAGCCTAGTTATGGTGTCAAAGCAGGGAATGCAAGGAGCTGTTCAGGAGATTAAAGTTCCAAGTGACATCAATACTGTTCCTGTTTTCCAACGAGGAGGTTCTGTGATCCCTCGCAAGTTGAGGCTACGACGTAGCACACACACAATGACTCGCGATCCGTACACTCTTTATGTTGCCCTAGATAAAGACGGTCGCGCATCTGGTAGTTTGTATATGGACGACGAAAACACTTTCAACTACTCTACGAAGAATGAATTTGCTTCTGCAAATATCCTTGTTGAAATTAATGGAAGTCGTGGCCGTATACGCAATGCTCCTACGGTAGGTGACGGATGGAAAGGAACCTCGGAAGAGAGTAACAAAATGATTGAGAGGATAGTGGTTATGGGAGTTGAAACACACCCGTCAAGCGTAGACGAGGTCGGAGAGAGTCTCGGATTCACGCATGATAGCAATGCCCATGTCTTAGTTATTCGAAAGCCCGAGCTCTCTGCCTTGGTAGACTGGGAAGTAAACATAACATTTTAGTATGAATGAGATCCGAATTTCAGTGTCAACGAGACCAATTAATCACGAAGTCAGTCGCAAACAATTGATAAAACTGTCGCTCTCCATGTGAGCGCCCGTTAGCGTTTCACATTTACTAGATCATCATGGAAATTTTTCTAAAGTACGTACTACTTATGGTCAACAAAAATATTACATCTAACATTTACGGCACAAAAAACAAACACGGTAGCGATAAGGAAATCGACAAGAAAATCAAACATTTTTCTCTTTCGCTCGACTGCGCAAAGGTGAAATTCTGAAATAGTTGCAAAAGAACAGTGTCGAGAGGCCATGTTAACTCAGAAGATCCCCCTCTTCTGATTGCCATTCAATTTCTGTGGTCTTCTGACCGCAGACATTATTTAACAAAGTTTCTTCGTCAATAACTTCCTTCAATCGATTTATTTCTTTTTCCAATTCTTTCACTCGGTTCTTCCAACACGTTATCTCTAAATCTTTTTGTCTCAACTCCCGCTCGATACGTGCGATATAATCATTACTTTTTGTTGGATTGACACCCTTACTTGTTGGGATTACATCACGATCCCTACGAGAAGCAATCATATAACCTTCTTCAAACGGTCGTAGTTCTGGAGGCACAAACATAACATCAATTATGTCATTCATCCTGCTTTCAACAGTGGTTGTCCACGACGAAGACCTTTCCATACTCATTTTCTTCATTTCAGAAGATCCGTTTCGAAATGATTGTAATCGCTGCCTTAGGGTCCGTGAACTAGATTTACTCTCAGGAGACAATGAGCTTCCAAAGCCTTCGATCCTGCCGTTGAGCCTTTTTCTGCCATCTGAGTCGATGTCAGCATAATCGTCTTCCTTACCATTGTCGCAGAATCCTGATCTCATTGACTGACTGCGAGAAACAGAAGATTGCGAAAACTTCGAACTATGATCTTTCTTGTCAAAAAATGACATCGTTGAAGCGCATCGCCTATCAAGCGCAGGCCTACCGGTAGTAGAAATTGGTGCTGGGACTGAATCATCGATTTCACTCTCTAAACTAGAATCGTCCGAATTGTCATTTGAGTTGAAAGAGGTGCACTCTAGTGGACCCAATAAAAGATCAACATGGTTGTGTTTTCTAACGACTGAGCCATCTTCAGAGCTACTTTCAGAGCTGCTGTCAGAGCGGCTCTCGGAGCAATCACTGGAACTGCTCTCAGAGCTCCTTGTCGAGCTGTCGCAATTTAACGATGACTCGCCGTTCAAACTTGCCATGACTGAAGTTGGCGAGATAGCTGCGTTCAGTACCTTATGATTCTTGGTTGGAACATCTGTTAGGATCAAAAGATTATCCTCTTCGATTGCTTCAAGATTTTCCTCCGTATCCTCTTCTTCGTCACTTCCGTCATCGTTGTAATCACTAGTACTGCACTTGATCTCATTGTCTGTTTTGTATTGGTACACAAGATCGCTAGTAGAAATATCTCCTCCTCCCAGTAAACCTTCATCGTCGCCAAAACCCGAGGGCATCAGAGCCTCTGATTCCACGCCTTCATCTAGAGTTTGACCCCTTCTCCAGAAGGCCAGTTTTCGCCAGCGACCCCTCTGTCTTTCATTTTGGATAGGTCTTTGATTTTTTAATCCTTCATCTTCCCTCTCGTCTCTATCACTGTTGTTCTGTTCCGAGATCAACGAAATTCTTTGATCCATATTTTCTTTTTCCTCCTTTACTTTCATAATTTTGAGTTCGCCAGAAAAAAACTGCTTTGCATTTCTATCTACTGCGATGGAATACTTTGTACCATTTATCCCAAATGTTCAAATTGTGTTCACCTTCAAGCTTCACTGCACTGGATTTTGAAGATTGTGTAACAGGTTGCTTTTGTCAAATTGATCCAATATGTGGTTCGATGCGTTGCGCATTCTGTATTCAGTATCAGTGTGAACGGTCCATACCGTACCAGCTACCGTCATCTCTACCTGCGCAAGATGCGCAAAACTGGAGTGTAATGCTATCGAGTGTCGAGTGAAGGTACCGGCCGGTACGGTATGATACGGGCATACACGTATCGGTAGAAGCAGCAGACAGAAAGAGCATTCAATTGTAAAATACAGTAATTATGAATATTTCCAATGATTCATCTCGTAAAAAACATAAGCTTATGGTATTTCCTAACAAAAAAGGTAATATCGTCAGGCAGGGACTATTATTACAACACACAAAAAACATTCTTCAGAATGACTAAAGATGCGTACCATACTCAATTACGGTAGGCTATCCTAAAGGTATGGTATGTTCTTCAGACTTGAAACTACAGGGTCAATAGTATGCGCCTGGAAAATGACTAGAATGACCCAAACCAGTAACAGTACACGGGTGTTCATATTGGACGAAAAGGGGAGCGAATCCGGTTTTGGGATTTAATTTAGAGTTAGGGATAATACTAAAATTCAATAGGAATCAAGCAATCTGATTGGCTGATAATATGGATCGAGATTTTAGTCACGTGTCAAAAGAGCAATTTTTTGTTTTGACTAGTTTGATTTAATCTTAGAATTTCATTCCCACAATTGTTTTGACTAGTTTGAATAGACTGTAAGTTTTTTGATGATTCTGATCAATATTATTAGCCAATCATATTGCTTGATTTGTACTGAATTATCGTATTAACCCTCACTCTAAATTAATGCCCAAAACCAGATTTGCTCCCCACATGAACACCTCCTGTGAGCGAGTAGTAGACGTACTTCTGACTTTGTACGTACAATTACACCAGTAGTAGATAAGTGCTACCTCCATCCAGATATAATAGTACACTTTGCACTACTCTATTTTTTCAGAAATAATTGCCCAGTATCTTGATTGCTATTCTAGTACAAACTCATGTGAAGAATACTAGTGTAGAAATATCAAAAACACACTTTTTGCAATGGGGAACAAGCAAAACACAAAACAGGCAACAACAACACCAGCACCATGAGGACCAGAAGCAACAAGTCAACCATGCCTCCAGCAGAGAAACCTCCTGCAAAGAAGAAGAAGAAGGACGACAGCAGCTTCAACTGTGGCACATGGCCAGAATGTAGGGAGAGCTCGAGAGAAATCTTTAAGTACAGCCAGCAAAAAGGAACAAGCTTTTCTCTTCTCAGCAAGCAAGAGATCCAAACTGGAAGGGCATTGGTACTGAGGTAACTTGGTCACAAGAAAATTCTCAGCAGCAATGACAACAACTGCTACCACAGCAGCAACAACAATCCCACCAGATCAAAGAGGGGGAGACAAAATCCAGTTAACACCAGATGAAGCTGCAACAAAAACTAAACCAAGAAGAGTATCACTTGATCAAGAAGACAACAAGATAACACCAGCAGTAAATCAAAGACCACAGATCTGAAATCCGTACACAAACAACAAGAAGCAAATGAGTCGTCCTATCAAAAGGAACAAACAAGAACAAGAATATCACCAAGAAGAAGGCACCAGCAAATAAGCTGCAACAGCAGCAACAACAAAGAAGAAAACAGTTGCACCAGCAGCTGGTGTCACCACTGTTGTTGAATGCCCTACTGAATCAGAAGACAACAAAGCTAAAAAGTTCAAATACACAAAGAAGCTAAATAACAACCCAATTGCCTTAAACACATTGGGGAGTGACGATGAGTATGTCACTGCTGAATCAAACAGCAATGGGGGGTATGCAACAAAAATAAAAGGATGCATTGCAAGATTTGTGAAGACCATACTCAATGCTACAAATCCAGCTACTAACAAACCTGGAGACAAAGTCATATATGAGATGTTCACCAAGAAGGTTCCTATAAATGATGGATTAACTGAAGCTTACTTATTCTACTAGAGTGCCAGAGGCAAACCAGATGCTCTAAAGAAGACACTTATGAATCAAGCCCACCCCTGGATATCAATACCCATTGGGAGTATGTTTGGGTGCTGTATTCTGTGTTTCATAAGAAGGAGATTGAGATCAATGAAGACTTCAAAGGCAAGGGGTCATTCCTTAGTGTTGTCAAGCTTGACTTCAACAAGAAGAGAGCCACAGATCCAACACTAGGAACCACCAAAAGGACCAAGGCTAATGTGATGAGTTTGGGGAGTCAAAGTTTGGAAGCTTGCTTGAAACCAATATATAAAAGCCTTACAAAGACATGCAATACCTCCTCAAGATAATGACCATGGAGCTGGTTGATAGTTTGGCCTCAAGGGAAGGGATGATATTGTCTTTCTTGAATGGAACTTTCTGAAACTTGGTCAATTCCCCCTTGCAACTTGGAGGGTGATAGATAAATCAAAATTTCTCCAGGGGGAGGCTTTGACAAGGGGAACCAGCTCAGCTTGGTGAGCAATCCAACCGTGAGCAAGATGTTCCCAATGGTAGTTCAGGACAAGGCCAATCTGTATTGTATTGTGAAGCTCATCAACTTCTATTGCACGCGATGTCATCCAGATCAACAGAGGTTCCTTTGCTATGTGAAAGACAACAGATCCAAGGATGATCCATATTACTTCAAGGATGATCCATATTACTTCAAGACAGGGATGCCAGTGGGACAGCAGGATACAGTAAGGAAATATCCTCAGCAGCTGGATACAAGGATGCCAACAAGTTAACTCCTCATGATAATAGACATCGATGCTGTACTGTGTTAGCATCTGATGTGAACTTCACAAAAAGTGTTTGCGGGATTTGGTCGCAACCCCACACGTGTAGTTTTTGTGAGGCCACTTAACATGGTGAAGTTATGATTATCAAGCTTACTGACGACCCCCTGTTTGTGATTATTTTTACGTTGCAATGCGTATTCACTCTGCGCACCAAAATTATTCTGCCAATATTCAACCCATAATTGGTCATCCTCCACTCCATATTTTTGCTTTGGGGGGTTGTGATACACAACCTCAACTGTTGCAATGACAGTAACCTCGGACCACGACTCTTGGAGGGAAAATGCAAGATGTACACACGTAAATAGTATTACTCTGAAATAAACTCGTTGTAATCACTATTGTGCTACAATGATTCCCTTTTCTATTGTCGAATTTTTGTTATGCCTGTGGCAATCCCCAGCTTTCGGATGAGAAATTACACCACTATTTGTGTTACTACTATGTTTGTCAAATGAATTCTACGAACACTTTTATGGATTACTAAACTTGTTCCACAACACTCCCCATTGTTCCAG